CACACACACAAAAGATAGGACATTAATAAATATTTTTCACCCTACCTTATGATCAGACAGAGCCCTGGTGACATAGAGTGTTAATGCTCCAAGATCCCCAGTTTGAAACCACCACCCACTCCAAAGGAGGAAGATGAGGCTTTCTACTCTCCTACAGAGCTACAGGCTCAGAAACCTACGAGGCCGTTCTGCCTCCCCTCTGGGTGTGCTGTTAGAATTGACTCAGTGGCAGGGAGTTTGAGTTTGATGGCCAGGCCTGCCACGTCTCTGTAAGTTGGCCATCTCAACCAGGCCCGCCGTAAGATTAGATAGAATTTATCGAACTGCTCAGATCTTGCCATTTAGACCTACACAAACAACGTCTCTCCATTTAAGCAATGACAATAACAACCACAACAATGGTAATGGCTACATCCATAGTAACTGAGTAACCTACAGAAGCCAATTCTAAGCTCTGTCCACATTTGACCCTCACTATCAGTCACGAGGGGGTGGGTTTTATTCCTTTTCCAAGTCTACAAGTGAGGTAATAATGGACCAGAGAGGTTAAGTAACTTGTCCCAAATCACAAAGCCAAAAGGTAACAAAATTCAATACAAACCCAGCTACTGAGGGCAGATCCTCCAAGGAGAGGGCACGGTTGAATGGGAGAAGAGCTTCCTGGGGGGTCTCTGGTTCCAGCCTCAGTCTGTGTTTTCTCTCCCCAGGTCAGTCAGTACACGTTTGCCATGTGCAGTTACCGGGAGAAGAAAGCAGAGCCCCAGGAGCTTCTACAACTGGATGGTTATACTGTGGACTACACCGACCCCCAGCCAGGTACTCACCCAGCCTCGTGGCCCTGAGCCCTCAGGACGTCCTACTGCCCCAAACCAGCAGTCAGCACTCGCTCTGGGCCAGACCGGAGTTTCCTAACATGTAATGGGTGACCATGATAGCCACCGCCCCCGCCCCCCACCCCTGTCCTTATAGAGCTTCCATTCTGCTAGGGTAATGCTATCCAGATTCAAGTCTTTGCCTTTACTCCAGAGACCCTCTGCTCGAATACCAAAAAGGATCCATAATATATTATTCTTCTACATCCCTGCGGAGGGTGATAGCGAAACGCCGCTGCACCGAGTGTGCAGCTCACCTTAGTTGTTGGTAGGTACCATGCAGTCAGTTCCGGCTCATAGCGATCCCTTTGGCCAACGAAGCAAGATACTGCCTGGTCCTGCACACCCTCGCAATCATTACTCTTGCGCCCCTTGTCGCAGTCCATCTCCTGGACGGGCTTCCTCCTTTTTGCTGACCAGAGAGTGGTCTCTTCTGATCACATGTCCACAGTACACGAGACAAAGTCTCACCGTCCTTGCTTTTAAGGAGCCTTCTGATATTGCCTTGGCGATCATGCCAATAATAATAATAATTGTAATAACAATGTTTCTGAAAACGAGCTCTTATGAGGAAATGGGATAATGTGTATGTTGTGTGTGCCGTGTTTCCCCTGGTGACTGTATGGGCTTGACAGACAGTCTGTGCCTGAGACCCAGGGAGACTGACCTACACAGCCGTATTTCCTAACTACAATCCAGGAGTGAATAAGGTCTCCTCTGGCACTGGAAAGGAAAGACTCCCCTAAGTGTCTTTTCCCCAGAGCCGATAACAAGTGACACGCATGCACATCCCCTTCCTAAGCCTTATGTAACCCAGAGAACACACAAATGTTAGTATTTCTTGTAAGTTCTTCATTCCATGAGTCCCACATCCTGTCCCCTCACACCTCTCCCTACCCCACACCCTCCATTTTATCTTTTTTCCCAGAAAAAAAA